ACTCAAATCAATGACGTGTCGCAAAAAGGTCGCGCACGCATTGTTAGACGGGTCGCAAAAAGCTCGCGCACGCATTGTTACACATTTTGTAGCGTAATCCAGAGGATCCTCGCTTTTAACATGATACACTGGGGGGTATCGTGATGCAACAACACCGTGTTGTTGCATCAAGATGGCCAGACTTCCGGTGATAGATTTTCGTACGATATTTTGTTTTCCCAATTTAAACCCATTTCTAGGACGAGTTGCTCAATAATCATACACGTGCAGTTAGCCCATGATCTATATTTAAAAAAACTCTCATTAGTATGCATGTAGCATCATCAAGAAGCGAGAAATTCGCCGTTTTCATTCCTCACTATTGATGCAACAACACCACTCTGTTTATCATCGATGATGCAACAACACCAATGTGCTGATGCAAAAACGCCAATATAATGTATCATTGAATATCAAGCGAAACTGTTTCACGTTCTGTTTATCTCGTAGGTGTTGGTCGGGACATGAATAAAACGCGTGAGTGCGTGGTTCATGAATGAAACGTATTTTGTTTGGTTCCTTAATGTATTTGTCTTTATGTTATCAAAGTTAAAAGGATATACAAGGTAAACTAAATACATAGGCTAAGTATTGAATCCCCGGGAGCCAACCTCATTGATATTGTATCTGAAAAATAAAGATTATTCATTTTCTAAATTAAATCCCCTTGATTTACCGTATCGTATGGAAATTGTTTACAAAGAACTAATATAACTAGACTTTGGAAATTGAACAAGTTCAATTTCAGACTCCAGATTTGGATTTTTTAAGCCGAGTCATCCAGAAAAAGATGGATGGATGGATGAAATAGGAAGGAGGGATAGGACAGAATAGGATGGAACGATAGGAGAGAATAGAGAAGAAAGATAGGATAGAATAGCAAGGAAGGATAAGATAGGAAGGATAGGAAGGAAAGGATATGAAGGAATGGAAGGAAAGGATAGGAAGGATAGATAGATAGGAAGGAAAGGATATGAAGGATAGATAGGAAGGAACGGATAGGGATAAAAGGGATAGTATAGGAAGGATAGGATAGAATAAGAAGGAACGATAGGATAGAATAGTAGGATAGGATAGGATAGGAAGGATGGATGGAAGGATGGATGGATTTTTCGACATTTTCTTGGCTACCCTTGACTTTCTATCAGGATACCATCAGATCGATTTTTCTCGAAATTTCAAAACGCCATAATTTCCGAACCGGAAGTCGGATCGAAATTTGGTTTGCAGATTCTGATTCCTGAGAAAATTCTATTCTTCATTCATAACTCAAACGTTAAATTTGGTGAATTTTTTATTTTGACCTACTTTTTGGACACCATATCTCAAAAGTGGGTTAAAATACTTTCTGACGGCAAAGGGCTAACACTTTTAGTACACTCTTGGCTACATGTATACACAATTTCGAAGAATATAATTGAAGTGTAGTGTCAGAATCACAAAAATAAGGAAAACTTTTGAACTTGACCTAGATTTTGACCTAGACATTTTTGTGTCCAAATTTTGAAGCTAGATTGCTTTTGAGGTACCCTTCATTTAAAGGCTTTCATTAAATTAAGCTGTACTCGGTCGTATATCTGTATATACAGGGTGGGCCAAAAAATTTTGCAACTTTTTTAAAAGGCTAGAAAAGTATCAAAACATAAGGGTATTGCCATAAAAAATTATTTACAGAAACTTAAGGATAGGCATATTTTACCATTTAAATACTAAAGCTAAACTGGACTTCAATTTTTTTTATCAGATCTTTGAATATCAATGGTCTATTGTTCATGTGTCCGAGATTTACCGTTTTTCCTAGAAAATGTTCCATTTATGTGATCAACAAGAACACATTCATTATGTTCACTAAATCTGTTACAATCTTTGATAACTGTTCAACCAATGTCTAGTACAGTTTATATCAGTATCTAGTCACTATGATATTATGTATCTCTTGATTTGAATATTCATTAAACTTTTATGCATCCACCTTTCACCTTATCTACAGCGCACAAGGAGACATGGGCGGAAGCGGAACTGGTCAATGGCGCGATCAAGCGATTCTTGTGGTAGTTCTCTCCACTTCTCCTGCAGAACTTCTTTTAGTTTAACAATAAATTGTGGGGGATTACCATTAACTGCAATAAGCTGCTCCAGGTGCCCCCAATGGTGATAGTCACAGGAGTTGGCATCTGGGGTATTTGGCAGCCATTCATCAGGACTAATAAATCAAGGCTTATTCTCCTCCAGATATTCCAAGTGACTTTTGCCCAATGGCTGGGAGCGATAGGGAAGGTGAAAGGGGGATGCATAGAACATTTGTTTAATAGATAATTAATAAATACAATATAACATAATACCATAGTGACTAGATACTGATATAAACTAGACATTGAGGTAGACATTGTTTAAACAGTTATCCAAGATTGTAGCAGATTTAGTGAACATTATGAATGTGTTATTGTTGATCACATAAAATCATAGGAAGTCACATTTTCTAGGAAAAATTGTAAATCTCGGACACATGAACATTTGACCAATGATATTCAAAGATCTGACAAAAACATTTGAAGCCAGTTTTAGCTTTAGCATTTGACTGGTAAAATATGCCTATCCTTAAGTTTCTGTAAATGATTTTTTATGGCAATACCCTTATGTTTTGATACTTTTCTAGCCTTTTAAAAAAGTTGCAAAATTTTTTGGCCCACCCTGTATGTCGTATTTTACACTTCAAAAAAATATTTTTTCCCTTTGACTTAACATGGGGCGCCAAAGGAGCACGTGGGTTATCGCAAACAATTTCAGAAGGTTATATCTTGGATTATGACTATTTTCTAACAATGAAGACAAGTTTATCTTTTAGATCAATTCATTATCTCAAAGAAAATTATGCACAGTAATAATAAATTCAAACAAACTGAGAGATATTTAACTAGCAATTAACCCATCAACACACTTTTTGACCCCATTTTGAAGATGTTGACCCCATTTTCGCCAAAAATGCAATCAGTTTTTACAATGTTTAATGCATTACTATTCTTTATTTTGATGTATCAAATAGTTCTTGAAAGAAAAACTGAATTGCATTAAGATAAGTGTTCCCCATGTTATTTCTCCATTGAAAAATCTCATGCTATCCATTGGTTTCAATTCATTTTGGTCATCCAAATTGAAGTCCCTGGAGCAATCAAATTTTCCCTTTAGGAAATCGAACATGTCTCAAAGCACATTCTAATTATGCATTCAACAATATAATAATAGGTTGCATTTTTGGTGAAAATTAGGTCAACATTTTTGAAAAAGTATGTTGATTGGTCCATTGCCCCTTCAATATCACTTAGGTCTGATTAACTAAATTATCATTATATATACTTTTCTTGAAGATAATGAATGGATCTAAAAGATACACCCATGTTCATGATCAGAAAATATTCATAATTCAAGTTAGAATCGTTTGAAATTGATTGCGATAACCTACGTGCTCCTTTTAGAGCGATTTTGAGTTTTCAAAACGCCATAACTTCCGATGAGTGTAGGTTTAATGATATTGCAGTTATACAATGCTATTATATAGAGGTTATTTACTGAGAGGGATTCAATATTGGTTTTATTCCGGGACACATTATGATATTTCCCGAGGGCCCAGGGGGAATCTGGGATTACTGTACCCCTATTAATTTACCTTTTCGGGACCTAAATCCTATTACCTACCTTTTTACTCAATCGGGGAGAACGAATCCAAAGAGAACAATACTTCTACATGTGCGCCGTGCAAGATTTCCAATAGCTCGTCGTGTTTACCGAGAACGAAAGATGTTTCCCCACCATTTTGAATGATACTAACTGGTATCAGGGTCATCAAACTATGGAACAGGGGTTTATGATAATAGATTGGGTTACTATAGCTTGAAATGTTAAAGGTGATTGAACTATGTTATAAAACAACTTCCAGTACATTATGATATTTAAAAGTATAAATTTTTGAAAATACATTATAAAGAATCTTCGCCCGCAGGACGTGTATTTTGAATGCCTGAGAAGAACGCAAATTTGTACTGGCCCGGTGTTGCAATAGTAGCATTTGAAAATCTGTTCCTCTCGAGATTTATGGTCTTCTGAAATTATACTATTAATTGGTGTTGTTGCATCATTGCTCCAATCTAGAGGAGTGTTGTTGCATCTTCGGTTTGGTGTTGTTGCATCAATAGTGAGGAACTAAAACCGTGAACTTCTTGCTTCTTGATGATGCTACATGTATACTAATGACAGTTTCTTTAAATTTAGATCGTGCGCTAACTTCACGTGTATGGTTATTGAGAAACTCGACCTAGAAATGGGTTTAAATTGGGGAAACAACATATCGTACGAAAATCTATCACCGGAAGTCTGGCCATCTTGATGCAACAACACGGTGTTGTTGCATCACGATACCCCCCAGTGATAGATGAAATAGTGTTCATTCAATTTTCATTCAACTCCTATAATCCCGGTTAGCAGGGAAGATAAAAAGTACCAATGGCTATTCACATGATCTTACTAAGAATTAGTACTTTTCATCTTCCCTGTTAGCAGGGATTTATGACTTTCCAGGGAATTGGTTCACCTAGTACATATCATGTGACCATGAATAAGCCAATGAGCATCTAGAATACATATGTGGAATATAATAATACCGTCTATCACACTCTCCGTCATGCAATAATGCTATATTATACATTCTCCTCCATGAGTTTGGCAACCATAAGCTTCTAATGGACAGTGCAATTTGCCTTGTTTGATTTTAGTTTTTTCCTCATCCACAATCGGATGAATACCATTAATGGGCTCTAATAACTGACACTGACTTTGTGACAAAGATACATTAATTAACATCGCCAAACATAACATAAACAGACTTAAGCAAAAATGAAAGTTACCGTTGCCAAATTTTGGTGGGGAGTGTAAGATTATATAATTCAGGTAAAAACAAATACATGATGTTTCATTTTGCGCCAAACTACAACCATATTTATTTTAACACCAGCGTTTTATTTTACAATAAACTGAATGCAGGGACCTCCATGCGTTCCGTTTCTGATTCCCTCTATGTACAGTGTGTATTATGAAAAATAAATTTAACTAAATGATTTTAGAATATAATATTATCAATATATCATCTTTAGATAAGTAAGTCTTGTCCTTTTCTTGTTGATAGGCCTCATGTATGCATTACCGTAGTATTCTAAGCTGTAGACATTCATAAGTGATTCATTGTTGTTGTAACCATGGATATCATAACGTCAGAGAGAACCAATTCATAGCTAGGAATGCCTATGGGAATGCACCGTTTGGATTATGTGGTAGTTCCACATGAGGCTAGTTTTCTATACAAGTGACTTGTTCGCCCGATACGCAACGAGTGGTTGTCTCTGTACTGTCAGGAACAAGGCTCCATCCATCTGGACATTCAAATGGGCTACAAACCTTCTGAGCAGCCACACCGCCGATATCCGCTGAAAATCATTTAATATGTAAATGATAATACAATCATAGAGTAAATGTTTTATTCTAACTTTTTTACTGTAAACAGTATTACTCTTATTTGATATCAAATCTAAGCGCAAGTACATTTGAATAGATGTAATAATGACATTATGTCAAAACATCTTACAACCATGAAGCAATGTCACAGTCTATTAAAATTATGAATAATACAATTTCTACAGCTTGAATTTTATTTATATTTGTTTTATTTGTGTTCATTTTATCAAACCACTCAACTCAACATTATTCAACGTTCTTCCTAGGTTTGACAATCATAACGTGTTGAAGTATGTTTATGCACCGGGGTGATAATATTGAGATTTCAAGACTTAATTGTACGATACAGTATTTCTTGATGTTAAGTATGACGTCTATATTGTGTATTTCTAATATAAGAATAAAAGACCTACGGGTACACTCGGGCTCCGTGCCGGACCATTCTCCGTTCGACAAACACGTACGTTCTTCACTTCCACTTAGCGTGTAGCCGTTTTTGCAACTATACACACGGAGATCACCGCGTCGTCTACCATTTCCTTCTGTTTTCCCATTGTCTACCTTTATATCATCACATTGCTTGACACGGTCTGACTCTAAACAGAAAGAACACACCATCTACCCTAATACTATCACATTATCTACATTAATATTATCATATTGTGTACCCTAATATTATCACATTTCGGTAAGCAGGTAAACGATCTTAACAGAAAGAACACATTGTCAACCATACTAGAGAGATTTCGCAACCGTACTTATGGCGTGTTTATCCAGACCCTTATCAAATGTTTATCAAGACGAGGGGAAATCCAAGAGCTTAACACTAAAACTGAATATCAAAAAATCCGAAAGACGGTAACATGGAAATGAAACCCAGCATGCCATCTTAAGAAATGCTACCAAATCATGAATATTCAAAATATCCCGCGCCATTGAATAACCATTAACCCAATCCAATCACAAAACATGTTACTTACTTTCGCAAACAGTTTCGGTTCCAGTCCATTCGCCATTGTATTGACACGTTCGGGATCGACTTCCACCTATAATTTCATAACCATCATCGCACTCAAAAAATTGTTCGCAGTTTGGCCAGATGTTACAGGTGCTAACTGTGGAACCATCCTCGGGATCAGCCAGGGTAGGGCAGGGAATGGCTGAAATTATTATCCATAAACAAAATTCTTGAGTAATTCCTGAAACTGTTATGGGTTAACAAAATACTCGAAGATAAGTAGCAGTAAAAATATTTATATTTTGATAGGTGTGACTGTGCGCGATAGCAATCAAGATATGTGATCAATTTGAATTGAATTGTTCTTGGGACAAAATCGCTCTTGAATAAAATAAAATAACCGAGATGTACACCTGCTCCATAAGTTTGGAAACATCTTTATTTTACCTAGTATCATATTGGTGTCTACAACAGTTTACGTATTCATTACTTTGGTGTTTTTTTTCAAATCAAAACACATAAACAGACTTTGAAGGGGTCTCCTTGTTGACAAACTTATGGAAGGGGTGGGTACTCACGACAAGGCTGGGCGTTACACTCCTCAAATTTAGTTAAAGGTCGAGCACAAATCATAACTTTCCCCTCCTCGTCATAGCAGACTTCTTCATATTCGCGTTCCCCAGCTCCACAGGTCACACTGCATTCTCCAATTGGTTTCCAAAGCTCCGTTACAACGCTACCCACTATAATTTCAATAACAGTAAACTGAATACTAGAATATAGTATATGAATACCTATCGATGTGAAAAACTCCTTTCAGTCCAATGTTTAATCTATTATTATGAATATTCAAAACGTTCAAAATGTGAACATCTGCAAGGCCTAATCTGGACACCTTTGGCCGGTTCGAATGTTCGAATTAGACAGGGTGGGCCAAAAAACGTCCATAATTTTGAAAATTCGTAGATTTCAATAAAAAAGATTAGCAGTAAATACAGAAATCAATTGTACAACTGTTTTCGAAGTGGGATAAATAAATCTCTAGGGTTCTTGATTCAAAAAGATAAACCCCCCCAAAAAAAGACTCATCTTAGTCCCCCACAATTCCAGTTATTTCTAGGCCTCTTATGGATAAGATCTTGATTCACAAAGTTTCAATTGTTCCTACCTCTAGACCCAGTGGAAAGCGACAATGGTGGATAAGAACAGCTTACCTTTCTCACATTCAAGACCAGTTGCGCCTGTGGGGCAGTCACATGTCATTTTGTTTGGCTCCTGTGAGTTAGTACATGTTCCTCCATTACGACATGGTTGGGGCCAGCAATTGTCAACATCTATATAACAAAAGGTTGTAAGGTTAGTACACTCCCATCCATATTGCAGCTGGAAAGCCATTTTGAATCACTCATCAAAGCCTTATCTGGCCTTTTAAGATGAATTCGTCAGTTTTGTCATCAAATCTTCAAGTATTGCGATTAGGAACAAAATTAGGATTCAAACAATGTTGACATTAAAAATGGCTGCCATCACTGAGCTAACGTGTTTTAAATTCCAAAAGACATTCCTGAAATTAAAAGGTGGTATGGATTTAGTGAAGACAGACATACATACATACATGAAGACGGACGGACGGACGTGTCTAGCCCGACATATGGCACACTTGGTAGGTCTAAACGCGTCTACCGATAATGAACCAGGCTAGGGTGCAAAAGCATGACTAGGGCGGTATTTTTTAATTTAAATTTCCAATATCTTGTTTAGCATTGACTTTTTAGTGACTTGATATCGGCGATACATTGGAGTGTTTGGAAGCTCTCATATTTTTCTGGATTTCTCTAATCGAAGTTAAACATGAATTGGAAGTACAAAAGAGATGTTATAATAAATATCCTCCTTGAAAAAAAGTGTTACCTCGTCTAAAAATCTAAACATGTAGGAGCTTTCAAACAAAAGTATCATATTCAAATTTGACAAGGGGAAGTTCATACGTACTAAGCGAGACATCGCCTCTGTTACGCTAAATTGCACCCACCCGATTCATTATCGGTGGTTGCGTATACATATCAAATGCACTTACTTTCTGATTTGACGTATCTCTTGATCACAAATGGTACTTTTGCGATATCTTTAACCCTCTCCCTCAGTTCATCTCTACATGTGTCGCTGATGTCATATTTCATCGTGACGTAGAATTCAGAATAATATGATGCATGTAAGACAATTTTTTCATTACCAACTTCTTTCGTGGCAATATCTGGTGACGATCTCACACATATGGTTTCTGCTGGATCGAAGGGGGTGGAGATAGAATTACCAATAGGGCACCATTTGAAGTTACCCTGATAACTAAATGCAAATTTGTTTGGACAGCTTTTGAATTTTGGAGACACAACAGTTGGGTATAGTTTACTGAACAAGCCTGTTGTTATTGTCATACATACTACATACTGCTCATCACTACACTGCAAGTCAGGATGGAGCATGGCCATGGATTCGATGTAGTTGGCCTTTTCAAATTCATCCGCGCAGTCAATCCATTGATTCTCCAAAAGCCATTCGGGATCGTTTCGAAGCTTAAACGATACCGTATCCCCCATGAGAAGTGCGTTCATGTCAATCGTGTACTTTTTATCCACGTTTGAAACACTTGGATTGTATGTCGGAACATAAACGCTGTATTCAATATCAGCCTCTTCGCTTACAACGATGGATATTATTTGGTCAATCGCATCCCTTGTGAAGTAATCATGTTTGCAAACACTAGGTCTCCTACCCCCGTTTCTAAACTCTATGGTGCTACATATCTGGATAGCTATCGACTGCAAACGTGCCTCGTCCAGAACAAGCACATTGATGATTTCATGCAGGTTTATTTGTGTCTCCGTAGAACCGATGAATTTCACATGTTCTTTGGCAATATGAAGTCCAAGAATTCTGCTAATCACACCTCCTTTGTCATCGATGTAGCCAGATAATGTCCCAATTTTACCTAAATGGTAATGATACAATGTGTGTTAATAGACATTCAGACTCTATCACCATTTTCCACAAATTTATAGAGGGTAAGACTGATGATGCCGTGGCACTGACAGCAATGTTCATTTATTGACAGCTGTGCAAAACATTTACTCGATTTGGTTAAGACAAAATGTGAAGCAACAACTAGTAGTGTTAAATCAGTAAGGAAAGAGTTGCACCTTCTAATTAAGTTTCGTTCTCACAGGAATAGCTAACCTATAGAATATTAGGAATATTCCTTGCCAAACCATCTCTCTCCTCCTATGGTAGCTATAACCATATATATACTTGCCATGTTTAGCAAACCACGCAAAAATGTTTTGATATGGTCAAATTTGATCACTTAGAAATGTGATGCTCAATTCCAGTAAGCTGCCATCTTTTAAAATTTTACACAGGAAGTGATGTCATCGACTCTCAACTTCTATAGGTTAGCTATTCCTGTGAGAACGAAACTTAATTAGAAGGTGCAACTCTTTCCTTACTGATTTAACACTACTAGTTGTTGCTTCACATTTTGTCTTAACCAAATCGAGTAAATGTTTTGCACAGCTGTCAATAAATGAACATTGCTGTCAGTGCCACGGCATCATCAGTCTTACCCTCTATAAATTTGTGGAAAATGGTGATAGAGTCTGAATGTCTATTAACACACATTGTATCATTACCATTTAGGTAAAATTGGGACATTATCTGGCTACATCGATGACAAAGGAGGTGTGATTAGCAGAATTCTTGGACTTCATATTGCCAAAGAACATGTGAAATTCATCGGTTCTACGGAGACACAAATAAACCTGCATGAAATCATCAATGTGCTTGTTCTGGACGAGGCACGTTTGCAGTCGATAGCTATCCAGATATGATAAGACTCATATTTTCACATTATATTATATTTTTGATTTTGATTTTCAACATCACATAAGTTGAATATCGCAGATATAGGTATGAGATGTATCACCCATATGGTAATACCTAATTTGACCAAATAATACAAATATACCGAAATTACTGATGTACACTAGTACAAATGATATTCGATATGTCAATATGATACAATAAACAACAATAACAAGGCACAATATCTTGATCACAGTTGATTAGTTGTCGATAGAGATTCATCTCCAAGATACCACTGATGTGTGGCGATGGACATCTTAGACATTCGTTTGTTGTCAAAAATCAGAGTTGCACTCTTACATTTGTCAAATATGTGGCGATGGACATCTTAGACATTCGTTTGTTGTCAAAAATCAGAGTAGCACTCTTACATTTGTCAAATATGTGGCGATGGACATCTTAGACATTCGTTTGTTATCAAAAATCAGAGTAGCACTCTTACATTTGTCAATGGGATGACCAGCATGGTACACGACAACTATACTTATAAACGATGTCTAGTTGTTTTTGCAAATTGTTTGGAGTTGATGCTATGACTGTATTATCATCAGCGACGAGTATACAAGGTATGGTTAAGTCATCACTGAGTTTCAAACCAAGCCCAGAATCAAGTTATTCATGAATATGTTCATCAATGTAGATCATGAATTCCAGAGTGAGGAACAATTTTTTCCTTGTCCACAGCCCTGTGCAATGGTTATTTCGCGTGAATAGAAATCTTCATATAAGATTCTGGCTTTCGTGTTACTATACGATTACACAATCAATCTCCATGCCTTCGAGTTAATGCCTAGCTTATAAAGCTTTACAAAGAGGCCATTTCTATACAATAAGTCAAAGGTCTGGACGTCTAACATAGCAGTAAAAACTGGTGAATCTCTCTGAGAAAAATGTGAAATAACTTCTTTAAAAACAAATGTAGCCATTTGACTGCCAGCAGTGTTCTCAAATTGCAAACAATGTGGAACTTTGGAAGATTTAAAAATCTGTAAATCGGTCTAGCTTTTGTCAAGCTTAGTCAAATGAGGCAGGTAGTGTGAAAGGTTTCTAGAAAACTCATCCCAAGACAACTCATCCCAAGACAAGTCATCCCTAAGACATCTCATCCCAAGACAACTCATCCCAAAACATCTCATCCCAAGACAACTCATCCCAAAACATCTCATCCCAAGACAACTCATCCCACTTGTATAATTGATAGATTATTAATCCCTGTATTATACAATGTATATCCCTTTTTTTAATAATTTTTCAATTACAAAGTGATAATTTATTATACACTCAATTTTTAATATTGATTTTTAGCATTTTGATTAATTCTAGGTTATTCTCAATATACTTGAGAATATAGAATTGAGAATGAAAGTCATAGACAGACAGAATTTCCAAATTTAATCATCATAAATCTGTAAGTTTGAAATGAAAATCCTATTTAGGATTAAGCCAAATGTGACTTATTGGAAATAATCAAAATATTTTAAAACAAAGACTGAATTAATCTGGGAGAATTATTCTGATATTACCCCGAATAATATACATTCTTATAGAGTTAATACTAATCTGATACCTTTGATGATCTTTGCTTTAATAAGTATTAGATATTTTGAACATGTTTATCTTTATCCTAATCAATCAACAAAAATTAACTAAAACTTGACTAAACTATCTACAAAAAATACAAAATATTAAGTAAATACAGCATGAAAATGTATATGATAAAAAAAGATATTCCATGGTCAAACACCACTTGTGCTAACTGCAAAATATCTCTAAATATTTTTGAAATATTCTCTCAAAATTTGAAATTATTTGAGATGTCTCGGAATGAGATATCTAGCGATGAGTTGTCCTGGGATGAGATGTCCTTTTATGGATGGGTTGTCTTAGGGCGAGTTGTCTTGTCCTGTTACCGTGTGAAACTATCTATCATTTAAGGTTTTCTTTGCGCTTCAGAATGTCATCTCTTTCAATTTTAATCAAACAAACATTAAGAAACAATGCACAAAAGCATAAAATTGCAAGCAAAACAAACAGTCCCTTTGAGCAAGATTCACCATAACACTCATTTGATCCTACCGGGCTATTCAATTCGTAACTAAAGCCAAACAATTCTTGGAGTCCAAACATCCCAAGACTATGAGACAGAAATACGAGGCCAAGGATTTGTCCAATGTACTTTACACCAAATAATTCCATGAAGACCCATTGTATTTGTACATAAAATGACCCAAACGCAAAGCTTATCATAATCGTGCTGATGAACAAGCCAGCAAATTCATGGTAGAAGAAAATCATAACAAGTAGACCGATAAACGTTGAAATTGAACAATGTAAAAGACTCAATGATCTTGGAATGTTAGGCCATTTCAGACAAATATAATTATAGAACCAAGAACTGCTTAATTTTCCTATTAAATTGAAAATTGGAAGGCTGATTGTAAAAACTACAATGTCATTCTCTCTATTAATGGATTTCAAGACAGTCGAAATATTGTTAACATACGTAGCACAAGATCCCCCTAAAACACAAGTTATCGTGAAAAGGTAATAAAATTGCATCGTTTTTATGATTTGCCAGGCATTCAAATTTGGTGGACATGGAATGGTGTCATTTGGAATCAATGTATTTTTCTCATTTCTACTTTCCACTGCATCCATTTCGTTATCAGTAACTTTGTTTTCTTCGCATGTTTTGAAGAGATCGTTCAATTCATTACTTTCATTTGTATCATATATTTTATCAACTGGAATTTCCTTAAGCAGGCATATCGCTAACAAATTAATGATCACAGACAGGACGGCTAGGAACAGCATAAAATCACCATATTTCTGATTCTCGGCATCTTCTATGTGGCCTTGTACAAAGAAACCTTGATAGATGGCGCTGTATATTGTTGCAGCTACCCCAAATACTGCGGAGAGAATCCCTAGTATTACACCTCTATATTTCTTTTCAAAATTCCTTGAGTTTACACTTATAGCTGCAACAAAAGAAAATGTTGTTCCAAACAGTGTAAATAAATATATAATACAACTCAACCATACATTAGTTGCGAAAAATGTTTCAAACTTTGTAGTAATCCATAGTAGTGTAAATCCAGATCCAGTGAAAATCAGGCCAAAGAAACTGACAATTCTAGGTCCAAATTTATCAAATATAAATCCGGCGGGGAGGCAAATATTTTGACCAACGTCCGCACTAATAAAGATATGCTCCAGATCCATTTGTGTGTAGTTGAATGTAGCTTTCAATGCGATTGCATATGTATTGAAACAATACAAGACTCCTGCTAAAAAGGTGCACAATATTCCCACAAACAAGGAAATATATCTTTGCATGTTCAGTCCTTACGGTATGTTTTGTTACACGAGTCTGATAAGAATATATGG